TCATGAATATCAATATCATAAAATAAAATAAAACATGTCCTGGACATTTTTCTCACCGGAAATCAAAAGAAATAACATATTATATTGATTTTGGGGTGAAATGTTACTTGTTCTTGACAGGTTTCATGAGGGTCACCCGATAGCTCTACATAAATGATTTGAGTAAAATAGACAATGCTCAGGTTTACATTCAAAATGTCTGAGACTAGGAATTTATTATATTATTATTTCCTATAACGATAGACCATGAGTTCTACTTTCCTTCTTCAAAGAGGAATATTTTGAGATGCCTGATTCACTAAATGGAAATAAACCTAGGGAAATATTTTTAGGGCAAGAAATTTTGTGAAGTACACGTTATCTCCTATTTTCTGCATAATTTGTTTTATACTGTATTTTTCTCATCTGAAGTTTTTGGAGTACCCTCCTCAAAGAAAACGGCCCTGTTGTAAAAGATTGTGTATGCATGTGCGTTTGAGTTCACACCTGTCTGAAAAGGTATCTCAAACTCTAAATCAATATTTCCTTATTTATGCACTGGGAAACTCATTTTATTAGGGTATTAGGCCACACATGTGTCTTATTAAGCCTTAGAGATTCATTCATTACTAGGATGAATCTCAAGCAGCGCAATAGACTGAGCTGGATTCCAGCTGTTTATTGTCTCGTATGTGTTAAATGTCTTTTTAACACTCCGGAGAGGAAAAGACAGGAAAGACAGAGGCTAAATGATGAAAGACGAATACATGACATTTTCTTGTTAGTAAATCAATGACCTCCTTATACGTGCATTACAGTGAAGGAAGTCTCTGTTAGAATGAAACACCACAAAATATTATTCCGGATATTTAGTCCATTTGAAACACTTTGAACTAAAGTAAAAGAAAATATGACCTAGATTACATAACATAACCCAAGCCATCGTTGCTAACAATTTTGACACATAAATTATCCACAGCAGGTCCTCCATGCTATAAAAAAAGTTACTGTAGCTCCATACAAAACATTATCTGTAAGTCGATAAATCATTATCTTTTTTTTTTCGTACCTATTCAGCAACATGTCTGTTGAACATGAATCGCAGCCATGCTGACACATGTCCTAAAATAACTTTTGTTGATTTTACATAGGACATCAAGCAGCGAACAAATATTCCATAATTGTTAATCATATCAAATGACAAATGTTTTTATATTTAAATATTTAATTTTTATTATTATCATATTACCATAAAGTGCATACACTCTTAAGAAAAGTTCCATAAAGAACCATGCTTTGAAAGTGCTATTTATATAGGACCTTAATGGCGTTATGAATAACCTTTTTAATAATATCTCATTCTAATAGTAACTTTTTACTATTTATGTTTATGAATATTTTATATTATTGCATTGTCATTTTTCTTTAAGTGAATTCAGCCCATTATCAACTTGTTGCAAGTTAATTGACCTCAAAGGTTATTGTTTATTAGACTTTACTGAACAATAATCACATTAAACTGTAATTATAAGTGAGAAAATCACACAGCCATTAGCAAGAACGGTTCTTTATATACTGAAGTGCTCAGCCAAATACACTGTAAAAAATAACCGTGAATTTAACGGTAAAAGACTGTAAAAATGCTACAGTAAAAACCTGTTAAATGGTTAACGGTAAATTCCCCTACTATATACGGTGCTCTCTGAATTTGAGCGCATTGTATCAAGGACTAATGATTACACGTGCAATGAGATGCGGCTTAATGAGGAAGCATTTTATGGTGGAAATGACAAATCTTCTTCTCTGGCTGTGGGCTGATTTGGTATTAAATGAAAGCAGTCCGGGCAAATGTCTGATGCATGCTGGGAAATGGATATTCTGTGTTGCAAATCACCTTTTGCATCGCTTACATTCTTGTAGTATATAATTTATCTATGCTGCACAGGAGTGAATATAATTTGTTTGCAGATGCCACTTGGTTTGGTATGTTTTTATACACTACTGCACAAAAGTGTGGGGTAATGGCTACTGAAAACTCAGTTTTGCTAACACAGGAAAAACATTTTTAAATATATTAAAATATAAAATTGTTATTTTAAATTGTAATAATATTTCAAAATATTACTGTTTTTACTGTATTTTTTAATCAAATAAATCCAGTTTTGGTGAGCATAAGATACATTTTTTTTAAATCTTACCAATTCCAAACTTTTGAACAGTACGTGTGCTTTTTTTTGTCTAAACAATTTTTAGGGCTATTGTATATTTGATTCTAATATATTTAACAATGTTCAGGAGAGAGAGTGTTCTTCTGGAGAAATCTTTTTTTTCCCGGGCTCAATACTAGCTAAACTCGTTCGATCACAATACTGTTGATTTCCCCAAAAAAAAAGGCTCATCCCTTGTTTTCCTGAACTTGTGGTTCATTTTTTAGCTCATTTTTACAGGGCCATTTTTGGCATTTTGGCATAGTGATGGAACTGTAAAAATGTACATAAGATTTTTTACACTAAAATCATGTTAACACTTATTGTCTTCTGGTTATACTAAAGTATTGAAATCAGTGAGTTATTGAATCAGTGAGTATTCTCAATGTTTACATTTCTATTGTAAGCACCTCACTGTAACAGATTTTTGCTTAAAAAAAAAAAGAGCAACTGAGTAAAAAATGATAACTGGCAGTCAAATTTTAACTGGAAGGTAATCAACATTATGCCACAAATGCTGTCAATTGAGCTTTACTATATTAAACCTGGGATTTTTCTTTCAGGTTTGTCCCTTAGACATTGAAGGAAAAGCTTTGTACTATAGAGGAAGATTGGGGTTATTTTTAAAGAAAGAACCACTCCATCAAAAGAAAGGCCCATGTCAGCTGACATTTGAAAAACAGGCACTTTGCACAAGCTTTAAGTCTCTCTCTTTCTGGCTGTAAGTGTGTGAGTGACAATGGGCGCTCTGTGGGCGCTGATAGACGGTCTGGTTTTTCCTCTTCATCAGCCTGATCAGAAAGATGGCAGCCACCTCAGAAGCCCCCAGAGCTGCCGCGCTCTCTAAATCACTAGCCACACAGAGGTGAAGAAACATCTACTGCACCAGTACTGGAGCGAGTCACAGGCCTGGCAGCCTCCCTATGTGCTCAACTCACACTGTAAACACTGCTCAGGTGCACTGATGATTGTTTCAACTTCTCCAGGTTATATCAATACTGGAAAGATTGCTTGCAAAGATGTTTATACGATTCAAGGTGAATTAGAAAAAAGTCAGCTGAAATATAATTTTAGCCAAAACAATCTCTTGCACCAAGTCTGCATTTATTTGACTAAACATACAGTAAAAACAGTAAAAGGTTACTGACTCCAAACTTTTGAACAGTAATACACACTTTCTAAAGTCAATTTTATTAGGAGCTGATATTATTCTTCTGAATAACCATAATTATGTAGGGGCAACTTGGCACGTTCTGCATTGTTAACATAAATAATGACATAATTTATTTATTTATTCTTACTCTCTAGCTAGAGTGAAAATTAAATTAATTTTCCTCACCAGACCCAGTCCTCCTCCTCTTCTTTTGTCACGTCTTCTTCCATTATTACTACTTTTGTAATGTGGCTAATTTTAAAGAATGACACAGATTTCCCACACATAATTATATCCTAGAATTAACAAGTTAGGCTACACTGTAAAAAAATGATTGTGATTTTAACAGTAAAAGACTGTAAAAATGCTACAGTAAAAACCTGTTAATTGGTTAACAGTAAGTTTCCATATATACGGTGAATAAATGTAACTACATTTAATGTGATTTTACAGTAAAATACTGTTAAAAATATGGTTTTTGGAAGTGAAAAAGAAAAAGTCATTGTATAATTTACATTGAAAACCCGTAAATTGACACTCCCAGAATTCCCTGCATGACACTTCATATTTTATGTTTTTTTTGTTGTTGAATAGCATGTTTCTTCTTCGTTTTTTCTTAATAGATGTGTACAGTAGGGTTTAATCTTACATCTAATGTTGTTAAATTAATGTTTATTGCATTATTTCAGTATCATGTGTGTCACCATGATGGGGTTTAGTGTTTGTGTGAATGACTATATATAAGAACTACCCACCTCAGTTCGTAAAAAAGCTGTTTGTGATGAGCTTTGATTCATCATGTGACTTTCTCATCATCAGCAGTTTTTGGTGGTTATCAGTGCATTACAATGGTTCAAAACAGATATTAACACTTCAATATGTTGGTTTATTAACATTACATCAGTTAATGAAATACGGTATTTTATTGTGAATTTAAGTTAAATCTGTAAAACCTAAAATGTTGCTACCATATTTTTTACGGTGAAGTTCTGGCAACCACAGCTGCCGGTATTTTACCGTAAATGTCACAGATTTTTTTTTACAGTGTATGCCTACTAAATAAAATTCAAAAATTTACCGCACAAAAAAAAAATCATTAATTAAATTATACATAATATAAATTAGACTTATATGTATCATTGTTAATAAAACGCTTTATCCTTCAGCTAATTGTCTATTTGTTTTGTGCTCTTTGATAAAAAGATGACTCCAGTCTTCTCATCTGATTGACAGTTAAATAGTAAACCCCCAACTCCACAAGACAAAAGTATAATAGCAGGACTGCTTTTATAATATTAACAATGGTGCGATTTTGAGATGCTCAACAGCAGCATGTTATCTCCCACCACAAAAAGTCCTAATTATGACAGCCTGCTACATTCTAGCTGAGCGAGGTTGCATTTCAAAGAGATCCAGACAATACAAAGACAAGCAGACAACAGCTACGCCCAGACTGAATCCTGATGTTATGTACGTGTCAGCCTTCCTTTTAAACGCCAACACACCTGCGCCATTCTTCTGTCCATTCCTGGATGACACGACACAACAGGTGTCCATATCAGGTGCGCTGCAGCTGTGCATAGACGCGACCTGTGGGACAGCAGCGACCCCATGTGGTGATTCATTATTCACTGTGCGGCAAATTGCTGGTGGAGAAAATGTTGTCCAACCTTCGAGCTCTTTCTAATCACTATCTGACCTACAAATCGAGTACTCTAGAAACGCCTTATCCTTGTAACCTCAAACGACTTTAACCAGCGCTGAAAAGTAACATATAACACGTGACTGAGCAGTCTACGACGTGCTTCAGCAGCAAAATGGACAATAACGTGCAAAGAAATAACTACACATAGTCGCTTAATTGAAAATACAACATTTAAAAAGGAAAAGTATTATTTATTATCGTGCTTGAACAATTAGAAACAGCATCGAGGTCTCTTTGACGTTTTGTAGTATTATTGTTGTACCACTGCCAAAACACTAGGAGGCGCCAAACACAGGCGCTGGTCTCCGATCAACACCATCATAGAGTCAGAAGAAGATTATAGGACTAGATGGGCGACGAAGAATGAAATAAACAGCACAATAAAAAGTATTCATCATAAAATAATGCAGCGCTAATTGGGACAATTGTCAAAAACTTAAACACTTCCCATTGTTTCATCAGGAGAGAAGGACATGGCGTTTGTCACAGCGAACTGGAACCCTCTGGGCGATGCTTTTTACAGGTAAATAACAGAACAGCTTAATCATTCTGTTATTAAATGTGCAGAATATGAGAGTATGAAATCATCATCCTGCACATACGCACTCGTTTAGGTACAGAGAAAGTGTAGCTTTTAAACGGGATGTTTGTTTTGAGTAGCCTCTGGTGTCATGTGACAGCTGACATCTTGCCCTTATAGAAGTAGGGTGGATTTAATTGTAGCTCTGACTGAATTAACTATGGTATACTAGAAAAGTTCACAATACTGTAAATCTATTAGTACAATCATTTTTCTTACAACTAGTATCCACAAATGTCTTAGTTTGCTTTATATAAACTATAATCACATAAATATACATCAATACAAGAAAATGAAGCCAAACCACTGCAGAAAAAAAAATATGCTTCATTTGTGCAAATTATCTGCACACATATATAATAAACGTTTTTAAAAACATTTTCAGTTATAGGTTTGAATATGTTTTTCATTATGTACATACACAAGTATGAATTTTCAGTGTCACAGCTGTTTAATTTTTTTTTCAACATACATGAACCACAGCTCAAACATGTTTTATGAAAGATCTTACATAATTATTTGTTTATATAGTAGCTTATTTACTTACTAATTTATTATACAATTTATGTGAACATAACGGTTTGAAAAAAAAAAGTTCTCTATATACATTTTTTTTTATATAAAGGAAATAAAACTTGTTTTGGGTAAGTTTATATTACAATACATTTATTTTGATAATGAAAGTATTAACTTGTTTCATAGGAAATGGAATATTGTACACTACCCGGTTTATTGGTGGAAGTCCTGATGTTTCCATTCAAGGATATTAGGAAGAAAATTGTCTGACGTTTTCCAGAAACATTTCTTTATAAGGAGCAACGTGAAAATCACATTATTTGATCATTACAAAACAATATACCTGCTGCTCCACTTTTTAAATGTTTTTGTCATGTTATGTCAGCCAATTTTAAAAACCAAGAATGTTGCCACATTGCCATACCCTAAACATATCCTTAAAAACAGCAAGATGTCCATTTTAAAGTACATTTAGACTTAAAACTGTGGCATGTAAGATCTGAGAAATTCGCTAAAAACAAATGTCCTCTATGGAGTACAAAACAGAATTGCTGGGTCCAGTGAGAAAAGCATAGGTTATGCTTATCTAGGGTATTAAGGAATTAACCTGGCTTTTACAGTATGCTGTACAGCAGAGCAGTCATATCAGGAATTATTATGCTTGTACCAACTTTCTAATCCCCGTTCTTTGTTCCTGAAACAGAAAGATTGAATTGTATGAGATGGGCTGGAATCTGAAAGATGGTCTGAGAGACTGTCTGGTTGCTGCAGCTCCATATGGGGGTCCCATCGGTGAGTTTTGTTTCATAACGTTGTTGCGTAAGATTGTATCAGAGTACAGTTTTGTGGAGTTCAAAGACGATGATACTTCTTTCTCTATCAGCTCTCCTAAAGGCACATAACCGATGCTCTCCCAGTGCCAGACCTCAGTTAGAGATCTTCTCTTCCTCAGGACTGCCTCTGGCCAGCTTTCCAGTAAGAACACACAGCTGCACAGCAGGGCTGCCAGATTAATCAAAGTAAATTTGAAATTGCGATATGGCTTAGTGCGATTATCAAATCACAAAGGCCATTTAATTTAATGAATATGCGTGGCACTGTGTTCTTATATGTTAGTTGCTCGTAATCCGGCGGCATTTGCGGTGTCTTAGAGTAGCTTGGTTTGCAGTAAATGCTGCTCCACATTAACTCATCTATGCATCTGTTGTATAGAGTTTGGGTTGCTTATAACAATCATTTGGAAACGCAAAATGCACCAACCATCCTCCCATACTTGTACTGAGAAGCACTTATGAACAGAAGAGACGCTCTGTAAGCTTCATGCATTTTTTTTTTGTCAAAATAAAAGTTAGATGATTTAACAAAAAAAAGATGTATATATTAAGACAGACATAAAAATTGGCATTGTAATTTTACACTTGTACTGTGAAATAAAATTATGTTTTACGATTTCTTTTTATTTTACAGTGAAGTTACAATAGTAATATTTCTTATTTTGTTTTTGCTTAGCAATTTTTATATTTAAATGTTAACATTTTAAATTTTAATAAAGTTATTATTATTATTATTATTATTATTATTATTATCTTTTTTTGTTGTTGTATCGATATATAAATAAACATGCACATTTTGGCAAAACAAACCTATACAACAAAGTACAACAAACCTGGATTTTTTTTTTTTATAATATCATAAATTGCTATTTTTATAACAATTAGATTTTGTCTCAAAATCGTGCAACTCTAGAATTGACTATTAGTTATTAAATAATGCTGTTCTTTTGGAATACTTTTGTGAACAAAAATGCTGTATAGTGACCTCTCTCTTTGTCTGCTTCAGTGGAAGAGTGGAGTGGTGAAGCAACTGGGTTGGACGGTGTCTGATGACCTACTGTGTGTTCAGGAGGATGGCACTGTGCTTGTCTACGATCTCTTGGGTGGCTTCAAGAGACACTTCAGCATGGGCAATGTGAGAATGCACATGGTTTTAAAAGGATGCATCTGTGATTCTATAGCCTACGTTCAAAGCATTGCTTCTTTAAATCAGTATTGATTTATAGCTAAAACATAGCATTGATTCTTTCACAGGAAGTTTCTCAAAGTCAGGTGCTGGAGACCAAGATATTCCATTCGCCGTATGGGACAGGTGTTGCCATATTGACAGGTGCCTTGCGATTCACTTTGGCCACAAACATTGATGACATAAAATTGAGGCGGTTACCTGAGGTTCCAGGTAAAATATGCATTCTTTGTGGTGTTATAAGAATACATAATTCCACAGTATTCTGAAAGATAAACTGTAAGTGAGATGCATTTATTAAGGTTTGATGTTTCTAACCCTAAATGGTCATTTTTTTTTATTTCAGGTCTACAGGGGGCGCCCTCATGCTGGGCAGTCCTGACTCAGGACAGGCAAAGTAAAGTGCTGGTGGCCAATGGATCTCATCTGTTCGTCTTGGACAATACAGCTTGCACACCTGTGGTAAAGACCACTCACACAGACTCAAACTACACAGATATTCAGATATTTTCAGTGTTTTATTACCTCATAAAAGTTACCAGTCTTTTTGCCCCAAATCCAAATAATGTGTATTTGAAACTCATGATGATGACAGACCTAGCAATCAAAAAAGTGTATAAACAGACAATGTGCATAAGAAAGCACCTGCTAAATAATGATTGTGTGTGTGTGTGTGTGTGTGTGTGTGTGTGTGTGTGTGTGTGTGTGTGCACGCACGTTTTTTTGTGATTTATGAGGACACAAATTTATATAATGACATGGTTATGGCATAGGTATTACAACGAGAAGGTGATTTATGAGGACATTTTGAGTGTCCCCATATTTCAAAAGGCTTATAGATCTTTCAGAATTTTTTTTTTTTTTTAAATCTAAAAATGCAGAAAGTTTCCTGTAAGGGGTAGGTTTAGGTGTAGGGTTGGTGTTCACAAAAACAAACCTGTGTGTGTGTGTGTGTGTGTGTGTGTGTATATATATCAGACTCCCCCAGGCCTCTCTCCACAAGCGTCCAGTATAGTTCACATGTGTGTCTCATTCAGTTATAAGTATCTGGCGCTCCTCACTGACTCTGGCCATGTGTGGATGGGCACGTCGAACCTAAAGGTAAGTGAAAACCAGCAATATCACTTTGTATTTGATTAACCTGTTTATTCTGGTTACAATTGTAGAAACTTGCTGTAAGTGGTCTAAGCGATTGTTTCTCCATCAGTTCATTATTCTCTCCACTTTAATTGATTAGTTAACTAGTTCATTAATTGCTCTGTCTTAAGCCTTAATTACAACCTTAATACTTTTGCACAACAAAGCAGCATCAGGTGAATGTTTTCTGGTGCAGGAGAAACTCAGTGAGGTGGACACCAAAATCAAAGCTCCCCCGAAACAGATGGCCTGGTATGACACTATTTTACAGTTAGCATGATTTATGTATATTTGATGTATGCTGTATTTTCACTGACATTTAGTTTTAAGGATGAGTTTGTATTATTATTATTTTCTTGCAGGTGTCGCAGGCCCAAGAGTCAGCAGCCATCGGCTGTGGTAATGTGGGATGGGCTCCTCCTAGTGGTGGGAGAGTGTAAAGAAACAATTCAGTACCATCTGGACGATGACTCAATTCTGGTGCCAGAACTGGACGGGGTCCGGATCATCAGTGGAACACACCATGAGCTGCTGCAAGAGGTCCCAGGTTAGAAAATTCTACACTGCCGTTCAAAAGTGTGGGGTCCATTCGATTTTTTTATGTTTTTGACAGTATTAAAATGTAATTTATTTCTGTGATGGCAATACCACACATTTCTTATTACTATCAATGTTGAAAGCAGTTGTGCTGGTTAATATTTTTGTGAAAAGTGTGATGCACTTTTTCAGGATTCATAGAAAGTTAAAATAAACAGCATTTATTTGAAATGAAAATCTTTTTGTAGCATTATAAAGGTCTTTACTGTTACTTTTGATTGAATGCATCCTTGCTGAATAAAAGGATTAATTTTGTTCAAGAGCAAAAACCTAATCTTACCGACCCCGAACATTTGAATGGTAATGTATATAGAATGCTGCCAGTTTCTACATCCCTCAAGCCCACAAGTGATTTGATTTTCCCATGATGCTCTGCAGGTGCATGCGAGGAGATCTTTAAAATTGCCTCAATGGCTCCTGGAGCACTACTGCTAGAGGCACATAAAGAATATGAGGTAAGACACATTTACTGTGTCGGATACACATTATTAAAACTTGACGTATTAAAACTTGAAATGTAATACATAAAATTGACCACAGATCTACAATTACAGCTATTGTTGAAAATTGCATACTTGACTATATGTTTGAATGTATGCTTATACTGTATGAGGTTCTTTCTTCTGTTGTACACAAAAGAAGATATTTTGAAGTATGTGGGTAACCAAACAGTTGCCATTGACTTCCATAGTATTTTTTTCTCATTTTTGGGTGAACTATGCCCTTAAGTGCTAATTATGACAGGTTTATTATGTCTAATTGCTTTTGTGTGTGAAAATATTTGCAGAAAGAGAGTCAGAAGGCAGATGAGTATCTGAGAGAAATTAAAGAGCAGAGTCTACTGAGCGAGGCTGTGAGGCAGTGTGTGGAGGCCGCCGGACATGAACATGAACCTGAGACACAGAAAACACTCTTGAGGGTGAGCCACACAGGCTGAATGTTGCAGGAAGAGAGACATTTCATTTATAGAAGGAATGAAAATAAACATCGGTTTATACAGTATATTCTTTCTCTCTCGCTTGTTCTCTCTGCAGGCGGCCTCATTTGGGAAGTGCTTTTTGAGTAATTTTCCTCCAGAGCAGTTTGTCAGCATGTGTAGAGACCTGCGGGTGTTGAATGCAGTCCGAGACTATACCGTCGGCATTCCACTTTCCCACACTCAGTTCAAACAGATGACCATACAAGTGCTCATCGACAGGTGCGACCATAAGAGGGTATAATTTTGTGCACAACATTTGTCTGTATGCATTGCATAAAATAGTTTTTTGATCACTTCCTTTGAAATGTTTAAAGTTTTATACTGAATGTGACAAAGCAGATTGTTTATCTTAATCTATGGCACTTTCTCTGTTTCAGACTGGTGTATCGTAAACTCTATCCACTGGCTATTGAGGTTTGCCGCTATTTAAAGACTCCAGAATATCAGGGAGTGAGCCGAGTACTCAAATACTGGGCCTGCTACAAGGTGTGTGTGTGTGTGTACTTATTTACTCCACTTGTAAGGTTAAAATGTCTAAAAATATGAATGTTGTAAAACATTTTAAAAACCTGTTGTGATGTTTACATTTATAAAAATTAACTATAAAATATATAGTTATATTCCAATATTTTGTATTTTGTATTGTTTTTACAACTTTTATTCAACAAAGTTGCATTAAATTTATCAAAATTGACAGTTAAGACTTTTACACTTTCAAAAGATTTCTATTTTGGATGAATATTGTTCTTTTGAACATTCTATTCAAAATTCCACTTTGCCATGGCAGAAATAAATTACATTTTAAAACACAGTAAAATAGAAAAAAAAAAATTACATTTTAATAATATTCGTGCAGCCCTACTGCATGCCTTCTTGTATGCTAGTGTACACGGTGGTCATGTACCTGAAGAATGAGCTGAACAGAGGAGACTTCTTCATGATGTTGAGGAACCAACCTGTGGCTCTGAGCCTCTACAAACAGGTACACACATCTGCACACACCTGCTTGCCGAAAAAACACACACCCTGCTGCTGCAGACCTGAGAACCACAGGTATTATTTATGATAAGAACATGTGAAATGAACAATGAAATCTCATTGGTCTAAACCCCTCTGCTCATATCTGTACATCAAATCTGTTCTGACTGGCTATGATTTTGTTGCTGTATTTACAGAAAAATTACTGCTGCCTAGTTAAGACAGTTGTTCACCAAAGCAATTCACGTCAGCTCCATAGCCTCAGTGTTGTTATCATTAAATATAGTAAAACTAAAAGTACTGAAAGTCCTTTTAATAATTAAAATAAAGCTGAAATAAAATAAAATATAAATGTAATAACTTAAATGAAAATTAGAAATGCAGCCTTGGAAACTTATTGAAATAAATATGTTGAAGTTCTAAAACTTACTAAAAATGAAATAAAAAATAAATTAGCGCTAAATATAAATATTTTTAAAAGACATACACATAACAAATCTACTAAAACTTTCAAATAAAAATGAAACCTGTTCACATTGTTTATTTTGTGTGTGTAGTTCTGTAAGCATCAGGAGCAGGATACACTAAAAGATCTTTTCAATCAAGATGATGATCATGAAGAACTTGGCAATTTCTATGTAAAGGCCAGCTATAAAGAGCAGGTTGGTGTTTACAGTTCTTTCTTCCTCATTTTTCTTCTCACTTCCATGATTTGAATGACAGAAGTGCTATAAAGGTTCAACAAATTATGGTGGCTCCATTTCCACCAATGGCTGGGGTTTGAAGGCTTTGCCTTCCACCTTAATTTCTTAGTACTCTTCTGTTATTTTTAGTAACATGATTTTGCTAGTTGCCTTGGTAAGAATGCATCTACTTAGAAAATAAATGTAAAGTGCATGTGTGTGCAATTACAGAGACTGGAAGCTCGGATTGCTCATTTACAAAGTGCTGTGGACGAGTACTACAAAGCCAAGAATGAATTTTCTGCCAAGGTGAAGACCTCAGACTCTTCTGTTACAGGCAGATTAGCAGCCTGGGTCAGAGTTCACTGCACATCTGTGAATGATCTAAAGGAATTCTTGTTTTTTCGCCTCTCTCAGACAACAGAAGATGAAATGCGTCTGCTGCGGTTTCAGAGGAAGCTAGAGGAAGAGAAGGGTGAGCAGCTCGTGGGATTCTCCCTTCATGACACTATGACCACGCTGCTGTCTGTGGGACTGCACAAACACGCCGAACAACTTTACAAAGACTTCAGAGTGCCCGACAAGAGGTGTGCCTTCTATTTATAGTTTTACCCACATGATTTATACTTTCTCTTTCTGTCTTTATTTGGTTTCATTGAAAGAATATACCTTGAGCAACATTTAATTCATGTCCCACTGGCAGTGTCGAGAATCACGAGAACATTCTCTGAGCTTCAGTGGTGACTCTGAGCTAATAAACCAGAGTGTGGCAAAGTGCTTTATCCTGCTGAAAGAGGCCACTGCCATCAAGGAACACCATTTCCTTGAAGGGTTGTATGTGATCTGCAACAATCTTTAAGTAGGTGGTACGTATCCAAGTAATGTCCACATGAATGCAGGACTCAAGGCCTTCTTCCCATAGTACATCCAGCTGCCATCTCTTCCCCCAGTAAAAGACACGTGCGCACGTGGCCATCCAACTGATCTTAAAGAAAATGTGATTCATCAGACCAGGCAAACTTCTTTCATTGCTCCATGGTCCAGTTCTGAAATTCACATGCCCACTGTAGGTGCAGATTACAGGGGGGTAAAAATGACTTTAGAAAGATGGCAGCATCAATAATATATTAATACTTCCTGAGTTAGAGGCACTCAAACTTTGGAAAAAGAATATTTATGGCACTCAGACAGGTATGTTCTACGCAGTTATTTTGATATAGGTAAACAAGATACATTATTTTAGTTTCAACGTCAGACCTTCCTCTTTAAAAGAAAAAAAGAATCAGCTGAATGCAAAGTGATTCAAAATGTGGTTTTTGACCACTGAAAATGTGTACAATTCCACTATTTACTCCTGGAGCCATATTGAGATTCCAATATTGCTGGAATGGAACCATATAGAGCCTTAAAAATGAAGATACCAAAAGGAAAGCGTGTTAATACCCAAAATCTAAAATGTATAATGCAACAAAGATTGCTAAAGTCAACAGATTTTACTAATAGACCTATCGATCTCTGTGTGAAAATAATATAATGCTGCTGCCAACTTTCTGAAGTCATTTTACCCCCCACCCCCCACATCACTATACATATTTATTTATCTTTCTTCAGAAAAAATATTGGCAAAATCAAAAATTGGGGACGTTTCTGAAATTTGGTTGATTTGACACTGAATGACCCAGTCAGTGGTTTTAATGTAGTGGCTGATGTATAGAGTATGTTTTTAAATAAAGATTAATATAATGTGAATGGTGGCCCGAGATGCTGGTATGGGCTCCAGCCCCCCTGGGACCCTGCAGAGGATAAGCGGTATAGAAAATGAATGGATGGATAATGTCATGAGTGAAGGTGTTTCTCATTATCAGGTTCTGGTGGCTGAGGTTGAAGGCTCTGGCTGAGAAGGAGGATTGGGAAGAGCTGGAGAAATTTTCCAAAAGCAAAAAGTCCCCTATTGGATATCTGGTAACTGATGTCCTGATGATCTGAATTATTGTTGTGAATTATTCTTAGAATTATTGTTGCGAATTATTTATTATCGTCTTTCTCTGATTACAGCCGTTTGTTGAGGTGTGCATTAAACACCATAACAAATATGAAGCCAGGAAATATGTGTCAAAAGTCACACTGGAGCAGAAGGTGAAAGCTCACCTTGCTGTGGGGTAAGAGCTTGTTCCAAAAAGTACACGTGACACTAAAGACCGCAGTAACAGCTGCTGAAAATTCAGCTTTGCCATCACAGGAATAAACTGCATTTTAAAATACATTCAAATAGAAAAGTGTAATAATATTTGACAATATTGCTGTTTTTACTATATTTTTGATTGAATAAATGCAGACTTGGAGAGCATAAGAGACTTTTTCTTTCTGACCCCAAATTTTTTAACAGAAGTAAGCATTACTGTTCATGACTAAGACAAAGAACCACAATAAATATGATTGTCTCTCACACAGGGATGTGGAAGGTGCCGCAGAGGCTGCTATCGAGAGGCGTAATGAATCAGAGATCGGTACTGTTCTGTCACGCTGTTCAGCCACCACTGATCATCTTCTGGTGGAACGCCTCAACCGTGCTAAAGCCACTGTTGCCAAAAAGTGAGCCTGTTCACTTCTGCCCCGCTTAGCTCAACTGCATTTGCTGCCCAACAATATGAAACCTCTGTGTGCCAATTCTCCTGCACAAAGCAGCTCGCAGCAGAAATCGTTTTTGGCTGTGTAAGTGTCTCCTGATGTAATGGAACATTTTCATGAAAATTCTGCACAGTGAAGGAAAATTATTGGGTGGAGAAAAAGGCGGACAGCAAGAAAAATGGCATGTCAGCTTTTTGTGTTTTTCCTGTCTCTGTCGGACAGCTAGAAGCGGTTCCCATCTTGCACTTCACTGTAAACCATAAAAACCTTTGTACCTATAGTTGCATTATGAACCATTGTGTGTTTGATTTAGAATCATACTGTCTTTGATCATATGCCTGTTCTGTCAAGATTATCTGCCTTTATGAACAAAACATTTGTTATTTTAATTAAACCATGATTGGATACCAACACGTGTTGAATGCAATTTGTGCACACTATTGTATTTTTTTCTATGATGTTTTTACCACAATCAAACTTTTCTCTCATGACTAAGCATTGATTGATTGAGGTCAAACTCCTCTCTCCTGCACTTTTGTCCAAATTTTTGGGTGTATGTAAACGTGTGATCGCAGAGGAGGCTCTGTCACATTTACAGAAGGGAACTTTGCAGAGTAGGTGACTTTTGCAAGAACAGCGACCAGAGAGGAAAAGAGGATAGAAGTTAAAAAGGTACGACGACACAATAGTCTTGGTTTGCAGGAAATATGATGTCCAACAAATGCTGTTTTCACAGCGCTGCATGACTTTATATCACGTGATTTTGTAGTTCAGCCTTTCCAGAAGACTGAGCACAACATGTGCAGTTTGTTTTGTTTGTGTAACTTTGTGTTGTCTAGAAAATGAAACGTTGTAACCAGTCGTGGTTTGTTTTAAAACCAGTATAGAATCGATTTATTTAATTATTTCGTCGGTAACTTTTTTGTATTTATTAATTTTTTTTTATGCTTGAACAACAAATATATAACAAAATTGCCATTGGTTATATAGAAAAATATAGAAAATAAATATTAACTATAAATGTATATATAAAACCACCAAATAAATAAAGTAAAAATAAAACGAATAAAATAATGAAAGGCCTTGTTATTTAATAATACAAAATGAGAGCACAGTTTTTACAGCTTTTTGGTTTGTACTTTCCTTAAAGGGATATTTCAACCAAAAATGAAAATTCTGTCATTAATTACTCACCCTCATGTCGTTCCAAACCTTTGTTCATCTTCGGAACACAAATTAAGATATCTTTGAAGAAATCCTGCATAGACAGCAACGCAACTGAAACGTTCAAGGCCCGGAAAGGTTGTAAGGACATCGTTAAAATAGTCCGTGTGGCATCAGTGGTTCAACCGTAATGTTATGAAGCTACAAGAATACTTTTTGTGCGCAAAGAAAACAAAAATAACTTTATTCAACAATTTCTTCTCTTGCGTGTCAGTCTCCGCCGTGTGCTCAGGAGAGTAGGGTACCACAATGCCAACAAATGCCTATGTAATTTTCTACCTCAGAAAAAAAAGAGGTTTCTGATTACTGAATTTACAACGATGAATATGAAACTATAACAAGTATTATACTATAACGATTATAACAAGTATAATCAAGAGATTAATAATATATGCCTCATTTTCCAAATTCTTATTACAGTTCAAAAAAACAAATATTACATATTGTAAAAGAAAATTGCACAACAATTTATAAATCTAGAAACCTCCCACCATGTCGTCAGTGAGATGATTACGGTTATGATTATAAAATACAGCCATAATGTATAATAGAGTCACCTGTTACACATTCATTCATAGCTCATGAATGAATTTATTAAGTTTATGGTGATCCATATTAAAAGTATTTTTATAATATCCAATGATCACAATATAACGTTAAATAGTAATAGTATGGCACTATCAGTCTCAGGGCAGCATGTTTGTCTCAACCAATGGTGTGAGTTTAATGCGGGACAAAATTTTTGCTCGACCAATGGCAGACGGGGGCGGTGTTCTGGGGAAACCGGTTTGACAACAGGCCAGTTGCATAAACATAGTCACCATGTTAAGACTGTGTCTTAAGAACTAGTTTGACTAACTAGCAGTTAACCAAGTGGTTAACAGTCTGTCTTTTCAGATTCATATTAGATCAATCTATGTTTTTATGTAACTGACTTTAAAAATGTATGACCAGTCTTGCAGAAAAAGAAAAGATTAGGTGTCTAACTTTTAAGACTAGTCTTCTAAGCAGTTTATGCAACCGGCCACAGATCATGTTTGCATTTCGTTTCTAAGGTAAAAGTTGTTTCAGGAAATCATCCAGTTACATGAACTATACTTGTGTGTTTCAGGTCATGTCGTCCATAAAAGTGGAATGTGTTATCAAACAAAAGAACCAAATCGGTGAGAGTCCAGTTTGGGAGGAGAAGGACTCCTCTTTGTTGTACGTTGATATTACGGGTAAAAGGGTCAGCCGGTGGAACTCGCTGACCAATCAAATAGACAGTATTGCCACAGGTAAGCATACAGTAAGTTCAGTGTGGGCTGCATTTTTAGCGACTTTCAAGGTAAATGCAACCAAATTAACAGTTAGTTGCCACAATAAAAGTCATTTAGTCAATATTTTGAGCTTGCATTTTATTTAAAGGTGCATTAGACATTGATTCAAGTGAAAATAGCATATATTATGATATGAATTAATTCAAATTTCTTGCCTTTGCACAGAAAAACTTGTAGGCTCTGTGGTGCCACGGCAGGCAGGTGGTTATGTCATCGCAGAGGGAACACGGTTTGCATTTGTTGACTGGGTAAAGCGTTCTGTTAAAGCTGTTGCCCATGTCAATGACAAGGAAAAACCAAACACCCGCTTCAATGATGGAAAAGTGGATCCAGCTGGCAGGTTTTTTGCAGGTACTGTGTGAGAGAAATCACATTTCATAAGCCTATTTTCACTCTGCTTATGTAAAGTATATGGAAATTGAAAACTTTAGAATGTTATCTTGGGACAGTTGTAATTCTGCTTTGTAGTTTTTTATTTTATTTATTTTTTTAACACAATTTACAGAAGCTGATAATAAAATAGTTTGCCATTCGCACTTCCCCTTTACTTTGTGCAGGTACCATGGGTTTGGACATGAAGCCTGACGTGACGGATGGGGCGCTGTACAGCCTCCTTCCTGACCACTCTGTCGTCAAGCAGTTGGATCAAGTGCACCTTTCCAATGGTTTGGACTGGTCACTTGATCACCGCATCTTCTACTACATCGACAGCTTGGCATTCATGGTGGAGGCCTTTGATTATGACATCCAGACCGGAGGGCTATGTGGGTTTGTTTTGCATTGGACGTGTGGTCTTGATGTAATATTTAAGCTTGTGTGGTTTTGTAAAACCTATGTATTTATTTATTTGTGTTTAAGCTAACCGCAGAATGGTTTACAAGATGGAGAAAGATGAACACGTACCAGACGGTATGTGCATAGACACAGAGGGCAAACTGTGGGTCGCCTGCTTCGATGCAGGAAGAGTGCTGCGTATCGACCCACAAACAGGTGTGTGAGTTTATAAAAGAGTAACATAGATCAGACAAAGCAATTTCATACAAAAACTAATGGTGAAATGTGAAATTTGGTGTAATGTTCAAAATTCACATTTTAGGTTTGACTGTATAGCTTATGTTGATCAAAATATGAATGCCCCCTTAAGCAATGTTAACCTTATTTTACTCATAAATTGACTCATAAACCACTATATTAAAAACCCATGGGAAATTCCAGAGGGAAGTCAAAAAGTCTCCACACTGTTGCTTCCATAATTGGCCATCAATCTCATGTTTATGAGAGAAACATTCTATTGAAATGTTCATATATCTGTTTCCACACAAAAAGCAAGCATCATAACTATTTTTACACTGAGAATAATAATAATAATGATTTGAGCACCAAATCAGCATATTAGAATGATTTCTGATGGATCACGTGACACTGAAGACTGGAGTAAAGATGCAGAAAATTCAGCTTTGCCATCACAGGAATACATGACATTTTAAAATATACTAAAATAGAAAACAGTCATTTTAAATAGTAATATTTTACAATATTACTGCTTTTACCATATTTGTAATCAAATAAATGAAGACACAAGAGACTTCTTTCAAAAACAAAAAAATCTTAAATTCATAAATTAAAAAACAATAGGGAAGTCACATTTGTATATATATATTTAATATATTTTAGGATTTAGGACTACAAACATCTCTATACTCACTACAGACTACTGTTACACTATCAAAAGCTACCAAATGACCAATGGTCAAATGGATATAAATACAAAGTCTAAATGAAAAACAAAGAACAGGTGAACAAGCTCTTTTGACCGATCTTTTCAGTAGTTAATGAACTTCCCTTCTCAGGCACACGGCTGCAGACAGTGAAACTACCAGCTGAGAAAACCACTTCCTGCTGTTTTGGAGGGAAGGACTACAGTGATCTCTACGTCACTTCAGCGTGTATTGACCTGGATGCAGATGCACTGGCCAAGCAACCTGAAGCTGGCTGCACATTTAAGGTAGACGTCTTATTTCATATCTTGCTCATGGTTGCATGACATAACCTCTGACACATTATATGCTCCATTCTTACCTCAGGTGTCTGGTTTAGGAGTGAAGGGCATCCCACCATACTCATACACTGGATGAAAACCCAGGAAAAAGTGATGTAAGCATCGTGACCATTTTGCAGTCACGATACAACAGTGTTCCAATCGTGCAATCAGTGATACATATAATATTAGATACTGAAAGCTTACCTCATTTCAGATGATTTCCAGAATATTAGACATTAGAAGCAGTTTGTCTAGATGACTAAATGAAAGATGTAATTATATGTGAAATAATTTATGCATTTTAATCCTGTATACATTAACTACACAAAGTGTGACTGTGCACATTTTAGAAAATTATTTCAAATGATACTTTTTTGGAGATTTTTAGATAATTATGTAATTTAGGTAACTTGTAATGTATATTAACCACAAATGTGATGTTTGGCTGTGCTGCTGAAGTGAGTCAGACAACAATGATTGTAAAAAATTATGTAATTATGATTGTGAATAAAGATTTTTTTAATTCTCTTGCAAGTCAAAATGGCACACCGTTCACTATTTTACATCCATGATCTGTATATCAGAGTAAAACTCTATTCAGTGGGAAAATGTAGGGCAGGACTTGATTTTACTGGGAACTGATTGGATCGTAAAAAGTAGGTCCAGAATGGTGGTTTGGAAGGAAGAGGCTGAAAAGAGAGGGATTTGTGATGTCAGCTAAAAAGTCATTTCAGACTATGCATTATGAGGGGTGAATAGGCTCGGTTTCATGTTGACTTTAAGGATACTAAGTAAACCTACAGGTTGTGGTGCAAAGGT